TTAATACTGGCAGCAACAACAGTCATCGAATGTGATACAGCAATCCTAGCGTATAGGTTAAAAAACATTAACTCTATTTCTAATTTGGGTCATAATCTTCTCTAAGACTATGCCATCCCACACGGTAGCTCACAAAGTTTTCTATGAAATGTGTGAGAATCTTTTGTTTAAAAAAATAACAAGATGTGTTATCAGTGGAAAATGAGTATGCGAAGTGGAAATGAGATGGGGTGCCACTGCAAAGGAAATGCTGCTGTTTTAACATGTGCTAGCAGAATGTACACAACAAGGATTTTTAAAGCGCCAGCCTTAACACACAGGAATTTTTGCTTTAAAGGGACTGCATCAAAGTTCACAAGCCCAAAATGTAACCTACCGTAAAATTAAGCATTTTACAAAATGCTCTTTTGATCCTGAAAAAACAACCAAGCTTCCAAATCCAAGATTGTCACACTGTTAAAATAGCACATACTTTGCTGTGTTTTGTCATTAAATTTGGTTCAGTTTTGCAACATGTACAGGTATGTAATGATTTTACTCTCTCCTCCACACTGTCTTTGGAACCATGCAAGATATTCACAACATCCAGTATTGGATCTTTTGTTTGGGATTTAAATGATTGAGTATTTCAGCTAGCAGTAATTTACATCGGAGCAATAATGAGACTTCTATACTCCAACGGCAAATGTCTCTTTAAAAAGAGGGCATTTCTTTATACAGAGAAGTTGCCAAACCACAAAATAATTGATTTTTATTTTGTTTTACTTAATACACACAAAATACTTCCCAGGGCACACTGAACTGCAATAAATCATAGCTACATGGCATAGTAATAAAAATGAACAACAGCATTTCACAACTTCAAGGTGGCAGATAAAAAAGATCTCTGCTGTATTTTGTTTTTCTTAATTTTAGCTTACAATCTAAAAGTGAGAACTAAGGAAATTAACTATGACTTGCTTTCTTCATATTGCACAGAGGCATAATAGAAAGCTATAGTGCATGCTTCTGTATACATACCTGTACTAGCATAGGGGCATACAAACAGAATTTTCATACAAGAAGAAATGTTGCTGTATTTAGAAATCAACTGTATAAAAGCTTTTCTTTATAAATATTCTTCCAACCAAAAATTGAGAAACTGCTAGGCAGTAAGTCCTCCATTCCCACAATAGTGGAATGGTTGAGCATGGATTATTCATCATCTCCACCCTCCACACTTTCCACTCTGACTTCATTTTTTGTGATTATCCCAAACCAGCACAGGACATTTTGCTGTGCACTGTTGTTGGGTTTACTGTAAACAAGATTAACAGATTAACATTCGCCCCTTGTGTTCTTTCCAGCTAACTGCCACAGATAATTGGAGCTGTGCAGACTACAGTTAACCTCAATATTCACACTGGAACATATACCCTTCTGTAGACAGTTTTCAATGTGTATTCAATGATGAAGGCATATTTAAGACATCGTAAATGGAAGCGCTCAGCATATTTGATGCATAAACACACTGTATAAGTGAGTCTGTCCTGAGTATATTCCATTAAAACCCACCAAAATAACATGTATTACATTTTCCTATGAAATCTGGTGAATAAACAAGAAGTATAGACAACATATCTTGAGTTTCTATAAATATAGCTGTGATAAAAGCTGAAGTGTATTAAAAGCAGCTAGCATTAAGCATAAATGTCTCATTACTTGTTCAATTAGACTTGATCTTCAGTCCAACCTACACAATAACATTAGTCAGTTCACCCATGAGGGCTTAGCAGGCTAATGATCTTTCCCTATATCTTCATCTAACAGAACTCGGCAGTCCTACTTCCTTACAGGGTGATCTCAGGGCTCCTTTTCAGCTGCAGATACTGAAAAGGGAATGGTTTCTCCTTTCAGATAGGATATCTCTCTCATCCCTGTGTTAACCTAGGCCCTGGATGACTAACCCTACAGCTGACACAAACAGATGTTTTTATTTGTTTGAACTATTAGGTCAAAGGGCTAATGAGCTAATGAAAATTCTTTAAAGAGCTATCAAATGAGGGATGATAGCAGATTTTCAGTTCCTATTTATGTAACATATAAGAATGAAGAAAATATTGTGAGTTTACAAATCTTTTGCTTCCATCTCAGTTGATGCAGATTTAAAAATAATAAAATTCTGAAAAAGCATACCTCAAGAGATGAATCAAAAACCTACCAACCAGCTCCTGGTGCTGTAATTCCATTAGCTGTGAATGTCTTTCTGCTCAAGTGTTTTATAGCATAGCACCAAGAAGCTTTTCTTTTTCCCATAGTATTTTAATTTGTCCAAATTCTGAAGCATTTTCTGTGTATATATTATGCCATGTCAGTATATGTATTATACCATGTCGATGATTTCTAGTCATGTAAACAAGTCCCCCAGTTTAACATGATAGAATAAATGCATAAAAATTACACCACTTCTGTTCCAGCAAGTCTGCAGTATCTCTCAATTATATTTCTCAAATAGCAACATTTTACTTTGCAAGTAAGTCAGCTAACTTTTGGAAATTTCAATCTTTCACATATATCTAAGTGTGTAGATTTGTATAATTTTGCAGTGATTATGCTCCAATCATTTTTTTTTTTTTTTAAATCTAAGAGTAAATAAGTTATTTTGATGTTTCCCTATGCCAGTCCCTAGACTTGGTTATTACTCAAAAAATCCAAACTTAGCAGCTCAATTCTACACAGTGTTTATTTTCTTTTTGTCTTTTTGATAGTGGAAATCATGTATAAATCACAAACAGTACAAGTTTCTCATGTAGTTGTCCAGCCGAATGGATCAACTTTTGCGTAGAGACACTGTATTTTTAGTATAAAGTCAAGATAATATGGCAGTTAACTAATACTCTCAACTACAGTAAAGATACAAACTTTTGTAATATAAATTAATTGCCATTACAAAAAGGCAACTGTATTAACTAATACGGTACAAAAATCTGCAACTTCTATAAATATAATGAAATGCAAGAAATTAAATGAAATAATACATCACAGATTTTTGTATAGCGCATTTTGAAGAGGCAAGCTAAGATACATGTGGAATATTATACAGCAAGAAATAATATCAAAATGCACTAAGATTTAACTTTTTTCCATACAAATGCTAGAAGTACAAGTACAGGACACAACATGGAAGCAGTAAGATTATCAGCTCAGAGTGAGTAGACAAAAAAAGTTGCACTGACAAGTTGTAAAGCATTAAGCAGCAGACAGAAACTTGTCAAAACCAGCTGTTGTTGGATACTGATTGATAATGTTTTCATTCTGATGGCTGAGACGCTGCAGACAACTACAGCTCTGAGAAGAAGCCTGATGTGGGCACATACGCATACACACACTCACACATACACACAAAGTAATTTAACAGATGTCTAAAGACCATTAAAGCACAGTATCTTTTTTAAAAAGACAATATGTTCTCTCCTTAATGAACTTGCATGGAAAGTAGAGCCCAGTGCCCAAGTTTATTTCATCTAAATGATGAGCATTTGTAAAAAGATTTAAAAAAAATCACACACACACAAACCAAACAAAACCAAGAAAATTCCATTGAGACTGGTCATCCAAATAAAATCTGCATTGTGCTCACGGTGCTTACATATTCTGCCATAGCCAAAGTATTCAAAACACTTTAGACAACGAAGTGTGATGTGAACTGCTATAAGCATTTTTAATACTTTCACAAAAAGATGAAGGTGTTCACAGACAGTAAAAGGGTACATATCCATTAAGTCCATCCACAACACAAAGCCACAGAACTACATTCAAAGTAAAGTTAAGCGTTGGTCTTAGCCTTAAGCATTTATGAGGTATTGTTTCAACCTGTGGTGAGGAATGATCACTGTATTAGTAAGAAAAAGCATATTTAAAGTTATTTTGAAAAATAAATCACTGCTACTGTGCAGTTGGTATCCCCATAAAGAAAAAGTATTTACCATCAAAAGGTCCAGTCTAGCTGCACACTGGCACATGCCAAAGCTGTATTCTCATTGACTAGTTGGGCCTTTTGGATGTTAGTCATGTAGCACCTTCCAACAGTGCATAGTTGGGAAATCATGACTAAAATATAAAACTCAGGAACTATGAAGTCATAGAATCCTAGAGTCATAGAATCATTTGAGTTGGAAGGAACCTTTAAAGGTCATCTAGTCCAACTCCCCTGCAATGAACAGGGAATCTACCACTAGTTCAGGTTGCTCAATTTCACTGGACCAGAAACACTAAGAGTACAAATAAGTGTAGTTCCAATACTGTGATACAGTTGGGATTCTTTCAATTTTTTGTACTTTTGGTCCATAATTTCAAAATGGGAAGGAAAGAGGAAAAAAATGAGAAGAATTAATTTTTTGTCTCCAAACTAATGTTCCATGGCAAAGCAGTAAAAGCTCTGAATCCATCTCTGCCTTCCTTTTTGTCAAATTGCCTTCCTTCTCTGGGAGACGAGCCTCTTTCTCCTCCCCACCATTTTCTACTTGTCCTTTTCCCTAATCAGGGAAGAAAATCTTGGGATGCTGTAATCTCTAAACTCGCGAAAGCTAAGGCTGCACATCAGATCCATTTCCTCTGCAAATTGAGGTAAAGGAGCCTCCTTAACCCAAAGGATAGAAACTAATGAGCAACTGAGTTGCTTCTACAGCCAAAGAGTCTTGAACTATCTAGAGAGCTTGTCTGTGTGCTTTAAAATGAGTAATTCCAGTTTTTGGATATTTCCAAGAGTAGAAGCAATGGGGTGATTGGCCTGGCAGTAAAAAGAAATAAAATGAAGCAAGAAGAGATGCCCTTCATGCTTATGAGCAAAACTTTCTGCCTATTCTGTCACAAAGTCAAACAACGAGCTTAATAGGTTTTCCAGCTTTATTCTGATAGTAGTAACTGAGTTAAAACAGTAACTATCAGGCCATGCATTTGGGCAGAAATAGTTCTGAGGGAGCAATACAAGAAATCCATGGATATGGAAAGGTAACAAAAAATCTTTGTTTAACAAGGAACATAATTGCAAGAAACAGAGAAATGGCTTTTCCTTTAAAAGCTGATGCTTACTATTTTCTTATTCTCAAAAAAACTAATAAGAAACTACAATAAACTTTAAACTTAAAACATAAATGCTTGGAGTGGAAAGATATGTTCCCTAAAGCCTTGCAACAGGAGTTACAAGTTTCAAAACATAAGCAGGACCCATGAGGAACCACTGACACGTCACTACAGCTTGTGTACATAGACACTCATGCACAAGGCACAACATTCAAGGTGTGCACCAGCCTGGTGATCAATCTGCACATACCCTGTTGTGATTGATTTCAGGGTGAGCCAGCAACCTGGCATATTTCTTTAAACAATAAAATCAGCCAATAAGGTCTTAAAAGAAAAGTCAGTAAAAAAAAACCTGAAAATCTACGATGGGGAAAATTTGGAAAGCGGAAGTGTGCACTGTGTTACTGGGACTAAATGGGATTTTTCCAAATGTATTACAAATGTTGTTTCCAATGAATACTTTTTTGTCTTCTAAGTAACATGTAGCCCAGAGGAAGTTTGAAAGAACAAGTTATAATCCCTTGAAAGGAGAAGCTTATGATACAAACACTGGAAGGCCCTTCATTATGGTACCTGGGCACCATTAAAGTAACAACAGCATACTATGAATGAGTGATAAAGAAGGCAATCTTTACTTAAAATCAGTCACACTTATATCTAGTAATAAGCCTCCACAGCTGAATTAACAGAAATTTGCTTTGCTTCTCTGAAAAAAAAATTTTTTTAAGTGAGAACTGCTAGTTTAGCCAACTTCTGTATATTTTTTAAAAACATTGTTTCTTCTTACCACTTTTTTATGCCACCTATTCTTCAGCAATACTGTTGCCTGCACACATCTGTGTGCAAATTTCCCTTTAAGGGAATTTCCAGCAAAATAATGGTTCTGCCTTTGACAAGGTTATGCAGTGGCTTAAGGAGAGGAATCATCTAATACATCCACTGTGTTTTCATTCAGTAAAATTTCAGACTAATCTTTGCACTGATGTAAAACAACTTAATTTTCAAGGTATCAGTAATGTTAAGGTTCTCAGTGGCTGTGCTTTCCATACTCTGGGGTCAGTAAACAAGCTAACACAGATTAGTCTCACAAATCCTTAAGACATGAATTATTTTTGAAAAACAAGGTAGCAAGTAGAATGCCACCTTTACAGACTATGTTATTCTTGTGCGTGCAGAATTTCCTATCAAGGATGATGGCAAGAAAGCAACATGCAGTGTGTGCAGAACTAGTGGTAAACAAAGAGGAACTCCCTATTTCAGTAGTGTAGACAACTTTACTGGAAATAGTCATGTACCTGATTCACAGAGTGTTTATTTTAACAAAAGGACATTCTGCACTGTGTACAAACATCACAGCACAGTCTTGATATCACACCATAAGTAATCTGTGAGCAGAATGAACAGGTACAATGATGCGTGGAGAATCACTCTTCCCTCTTGTGTTTCACATTCTTGAAGGTTCGAAGTCTCTCTCCTCCAACAAGTTTATTAGAAGGGAGAAGCTGTCTTTTACTGCCTCCATATCATCCAAGGAGCAGGGCTTAAGAATCCAGCGCTTTCCACGTGCAAGTGGCTCAAGTTCGAAGTATTTTTTGATCTGTTAAGGAAAAACAAAAGACACAAGTGTATTAGTACTACAACCACCACACACATGCTCTTTCACATCTTAAAAAAAATAAGAAAAAAGCCAACATGCAAATTGACAAAAACAACACGTAAAAGATCAGGAACCTCATTTTTAGCATCTTATCCACAGCTGTTCTTATAATATAGGTTATATGTTGTGACCTGAAAGTGTTTTCTTTAGGGGTGAGTGACCTGTTTGCAAGCTACCATTCTACCCATACATTTAACAGCATGGGAGGTCTGGGGAAGAATTATATGTACTTAAGGCAAAGAGCAAAGCACACAAAGCAAGTTTTCAAAAGCATGGCCTAAAAAGCAAATGTAATAAAGAAATTCTAGGTTGCATTTGAACATTAATGTTAGAGCTGCATGTTTCATAGCAAAATTCTTCCAAAATCAGCTAGTTTTTAAAATTCAGCACAGAATATTAGCACACCAATGCAATTAGAACAAATAAAAAATATGTGGGACATGATTGTTTTCATTCAAAATCCTGCATGTTCCATCAGCTTTCAGCTGCTCTCTAATAATATGTAATAATGCCTAGAAAGAAAAAAAGGCTTTTAATTAAACTAATTCAAGTTTTATTTCTGCAGTTAATATGCATCAAGGAGGCAAGGACTATGGTGCAGTATAGAACTGCAAGTTTTGGAATGATCATATGCCTTGACAACACATACTGAGGAAGATGTTACTTATTGAAAAGATCATTATCAAGTTAGAAGCACAGACCCACAGGAACACTGTGAAATAAAATGCTTGAATTTAATACTATACTCTACTCACTTTTCAAATTAGCAAGTGGAGTGTCAAAACATGGTTTTTATCTCATGAATGCCTATTAGAAAGAAGAGTTTACAGGCCATTTGGTCAGTAGATTACCTTAAGCTGTTTTCACCAGATTTTCAGCCTTTGATAGTATTTGATCCAAAAGCCTACTCATGGCTGACTAAAACAACACAAAAATAGACTAGCACAAAATAAATATTCTGTTTTTAAACCCCAAATTATACCAATATGTGCTATTGTCAGCACACTAACAGAAATATTTAGTTTTGACATAGATTGCATATTCTTGTTCTGTATAATTCTTGTCAAATATATTTAATTTTCTTCTATTGCAGACCAAGCCACAAGTATGCACATGAACAGGATCAGGAACAGTTGCTCATACTGTGGTAGGCAGTGGACTCCCTAGATAGCCAACTGGAGCCACACAGCGTGAAGGCTCCGTGTGCAGTGGAGAAAAAACAACCTGCAGCATCTCTACACAGTTCTGTGTAGCATCTACACAACATGTCCATTTTTTGCTTAATGGATTATAATAGAAGAAACTGACTATGGTTGCATCAACTCATACAAATCAGAATTCAACCGTGGCAAGGTGGAAGAAGGCTTGTCATTTTTTAGTAAAGATTTTGGAGTAGATTCTTCTATAACAGAAGATAGATTCTTCTATTAACAAATATTAGAAAAAGTGATTTGGTTTTGAGAACAGAACTTCTGCTTCCTCTCATGAACATATAGATGGAAACTTTTCAAATTTATTTCTAACAAAGCATAAAACTATCAATAGTAGTCTGAAAAAAAATGTAGAAAATGAACAGCAGTACTTGGCATTCACTGCACATCAAACAAATTAGAAAAAAACAGAGCCTGACACAACTGTTATTTTAATATCAACTTTTTAGCATTGCTGACACAGTGTCATATTAATAAGTAATATGATGACATGATTGTACGTGATCAGAATATAAGCAATAATCTTTACCATTGATACACAATAATATTTCTTGCAACTCCAATTAATATTTTAAATAGGTGGCAATGATCACAGAATTCAAGAAGTCAGGAAAGGAAGCTCTCTTGCCTCTCTCAGTAACAGCCTCCCTGACTGCAAAACAAGAGGAGGAAGTAAAAGGTGCACAGGAACATGACAAAGTATGGTGTCAGCACAGCTAGTAGATGGAGCAGCCTGCTGGTGTTAAGCTGACAAATATAGTTGGGTAACTTGAGATGTTTCGGACCCACAACCCAAAGGATGTCTACCACACCCCCTCTACTGGAAGACTATTGCTATCAGCTCCTTGAGCTCGATGAACTCTGTCTGCAATGTTATTTACATATGCTTTTTAACTTAGGCTGTGCCATACGAGGAAATGATTAGGAAAAGGTAATTATGTTTAATGAGATTACTTGGATCTAAAAGCATGAAATATGTAGGAACACATACAAAAGGAAATGATGGCAGTAAGCAGGCTTGCACTGAGTCTGTTGCATTTGTTAGCAAATACAACATTGCTTCCCAAGGCAGTCTTTAGCCAAAAAAACCCACAGTCACTTCAAGTTATATTTCAGTGGCTGCAAACTTCAAGATCTAATTTCTATTTCAGTACTCAAACAGCATCAACTGATTTAATAAGACAAATTTTCCAGAGACATTTTTTATTTGGATGCCTGAAGATGACTAAAATATATTTTTTAATATTTCTTGGTGTGTAATCAAGATGTAACAAAATCAGCAGTGTGCTGTCATCAGTTTACACAGCTAACGAACAGGTCACAGTCTCTGCATTAGTAAGTCTGAATGAATACTGAAATTAAAATACTCATTAAGTGGAGGTTTGAAAACAGCACGAAAACGCAACTCCTTGCAATCAGATAAATATCAACCATTTTCTTCAAACCTACAGAGAAAAATCTAATGCAAAATCAGAAAAAATAACACTATTTGTCTTACAAGTGATAACTAACTAGAATTAGCACAGAAGTGATCTTCTACAAGCTAAGAGACACTTTGTAGTATGTTACTCTTTTTCATCACTTGCAGGTTTCTACTATTTTGAAAGTCCCAGAAATAAGTTTGTAAGCACAAATATTTTCATTTGCAATGTACTACAATTTCTCTCATCAATCAGTTCTAATAACAAGTTGTTTTCAGACTTGAGTCTTTTGTTACATATAAGAGATAAAACAACACAAAAATAGACCGGCGTAATCAGATGCCTGCTGCTGTTTATGCAGTTGAGTTCTCCACTGGCATGCTCTCAGCACTCCATCCACTTTCTTTTCACTGCTCTATAGCTGCTTTCTGCCTGGCCATCATATATACTTGTCCTCTGCCAGATTTCCTATGCGGAGGTACATTAATCATTAAAGTATCTAAAGGAAGTTGAAATCCTCTGACTACACACCTTCGTAGCCTCTTGCTAGCAAGGTAAGTACCAGCAACTATTTCATAGCTCCTAGAAGTGCACAAGAAGGAGGGCAGCTATTAAGAGGAGCTCTTTTGTCTTGCTCTCTTGCATAACTGATGAAAAGCGTTCTGCCTACTCATGGATGCTGAAGCAAAATATTAAGACTCAAACATGCTTCTGATGTCTGACACATCAGACATGCATTTACATACTTGCTTTGCATTTGTGTTTACTTTGAGACTGCTGAATTTTTAAGACATAACCTTAGAAGAAAATATAATCAATTAAATCCAGATCATTTCAAGACTTCTTTACTACTATTTAACAGGATTTCACTGTATGTCTTGACTCCACACGAGGGCCTTGTTTTATAGAGAAGCTGACATTGCATTTATGCCACATTCTGAAGTAAAAAAATCTAACAATACACTTTTGCAATTATTCCTACTCCTCCCACACCCCACCTTCTGAAGTCCTATTCTGCTGGCACAGTACACTAAGCATATGGTTATCAAATGTGCTTAACCTATGTGCTGGAAAAGTCAAGACACAATAAAAGGATTGATGCCCAGAACCTCAGCTGGGGTAAATTAGCACAGCAGCACGGAACTGATGTTACCAAATTGATCTACGTAAACTGATTTACCGGTCCTGGCTGAAAGCTTTTATATATTCTATTACTGAACCTCATCTAGCTGGTTTGCAGCACAAGACATTCAGGAAAAACTTACATACTGTAAGAATACATGAATACAGAGTCATTTCTGTCTTTCACTCAAGATGAAAAAAAGCTGCTTCAATACATTGTTTTTCATCTGAATTCAAAAATTTCATATCAAAGTTCGTCAACACAAAAAGGCTTCCAATACACTCTAATTTGCTGAAAAGAAGTTCAAGATACCAGCAATTGCTTATTTTACCAGGCTGCATTTGGATAATTTAAGGATAAAATATTTTTTCATCCACTATGCTACAAATCACAGTAACATATACACATTAAATCTAATCAATAGCTGCACAGTCATGTCAGTTTCCTTACTAGTCCGATTTTTTCTGAGCCTTTTTCAGGATTAGGCAAGTATTCCTGCTTTAGTGAAGGTATAAATTAAACTAAAATTACCTAACTTGCTGAATCCATATATTAACTACAAGGAATGTTTCATTCATTTGTCCCAAATCCCCACGGATAAGAAATGCGACAGTAATGGGAGATGGGACCTCCCCATATTGACACTGCAAATGTTTCACTGGGCTGCGATGCGCAGATTACATTCACAAACATCACAAAAAACCTGCTTTTTGGGGCAACTGTTTAGAAAACCCACAAGAAAGAGGTAATTTTGAGCACTGAGCCCATGAACAACAGAAGAGCTGCTTGTAACAGTGACCAAAGCAGGCTCAAATTCAGTATCTTTGGAGAAGAAAAAAAGCCATAAAAGTCTATCACATAGCATTAAGTTTTAAAAAGGGAAACTACATAAAATGAATAACTTAAAGAAAATCAACTGTGCAGCTAAAAAGGTAAAATGTTTGCAGGTGGCACAGAAAAAAAACATCCATAATTAGAGGCTCAGAGTATATTTATAATGCTACAGAAGACTTTGAAAGAAACAAAAAAAGCTTTCAACAGTTGCAATAAGGAAAAGGATAGTATTAGAGGTAAAAGAAGTTATGTCTAAAGAAGGAAAATAGAAAACAAAAGAAAGGAAATTCTTGCAAATTAAGTAGAAACCACAAATGTTGACCTACTAACCATAGAGTGCAATCCATGGCT